TATGACTTTGGGATTTATATGTAGATTTAGGCTGAAGTGCTCAGCCTGTGCCGAGATGTCACATACAAAAATGGATGCGCAGCCAAATCTTCAAAGCTCTTCTGCAAAATTGGAGGCTTTTAGCACTGGATGAGTCAGGTTGAGATAACGGTTTACAGTATACAGTTTTATTCCTAGTAATTGTTCAGTAATGGTGTTTTTCCTGCTTTTGATTTCTGAGGGCTGCTTTGCTAGATTTGGCCATTATCCTTTCCTTGCTAGGACTGCACATCGAGGAAGCAAGAAAATGCATCCTAGTTTGTAAGCAGAAGCGTGAGGCGGGGAAGCCGATACCCTAGGAAAAAGAGTTTGAATAACACCGCATGAGGAGCCTAAGCATGAATCCCCTCTGCTGCCGGACCTGTGCCTCCTCCATTTCCTTCCAAAATGAGAAGCCGGATGCTCAGCTGAGAAATACGAAGTAGGATAGAAACAATTAGAACATACCAGACGTTTTGCCTTTGAAGTGAGGAATTTCAAAACTCAGTTGAGAGTTAAACATGCGTGTTCTTGAAACAGTTACAAATTACGTTTGTCTGACAAATCTAATCTTGCTCAGCAGTGTCTGAGGAAGACGAGCTTGGAGAAGTCTGACAGAAGTAACTGCTTCAGTGGGGGGGACTTTGCCAGCTCATGAACATCTGTCTGAGAAGACATACTCGCTTAGGCTAAATTGTCTTTGACTTGTAAGCACATGCAGTAAACAAATGGAAAATGTCAAAGGTCCAATTTCAGCTTGGGCGGCAGGAATGTTTTGGCAGTCGCGTTGTTTTTTCCCCACTGTGTCACAACTTAGTCACCTGTGGAATGGGCAGTGCAGCATCTTCCGTGCTGTGGATGGCTCCGAAGCTGTTCCCTCTAGCGGAGGGGGCTTTGGGAGGGCCGTGGATAACGTGCTGGGTAGCAGCACGACGTGAGCTGTTCGGTTCGTGTCACAGTACCCCTTTGTAGCTACTGCGGTGGAGAATTTCAAAGCGAGAGTTCAGCTGTGTAGCTTCTCAGTGCCAGGGATTCTCTAATATATCAAAGTTGTAAATGTGAGGCGAGATAGTTTACATGATAGTGATTTATAACTGTTGACATATCCTCTATTCAAGCTGTGTGCTATTCATGTTTGTGTTTGTTTTTAATGGGGAATGTTTAAAAATGGATAAATATTACTTTTGTCTGGTCAGACATTCAGAGGGGAAAACCAATTCTTATAAAAGATGTTTTGTTTTTAGACACTGTTGAATCCTCTCTCTTCTTTCTTCCTAAGAAGAAAAAAACCCCCACCAAAATCCAACTAAAAAAAGAAAGAAAACCCAGCTGAGGTTGTTGCAGCACAGCCAAACTGACATCTATGTATAAGTGACAATGCGAGATGTACAGTATGGTTGCATTCAGTCTGTGCCTCCTGTTCCCACCTCTGAAAAGCACAATAACTTCTGACATCTGTGAAGCAAAAGATGCTTTACAAATAGCGGCTTTTGGACTTTACAGTCAAAAGCATATTTCAATATGTGCCTATAAGATATATGTAAATATATATTTTTGTCTGCTGTAGCTCTTATCTCTTTGATGCTCTTTTATTGCATAGGTTTTTAATCAGAAAATGAATACTCGTTATAAATGCATCTTTGTGTTTTCTCAGAAGTACAACATTGCAGTTTGTGTAATGGTAGGTGTAAACAACAGGAAAAGTACTGCTAGAAGGTTACTAAATCTGTAAGTGAAGCACAGCTTACCTCGCTTCTGTCCCAAGTGCAGTTTTGCTGTTATATGTATGTGTGTTTACATTTACGCTATGTATGTTTGAGCGTATGAAGTTTTGTATGTGTACACGCTCAGATCTAATGAAGGTTTATGTATTTGGGTGCTGTGGTTTAACTTAGAAGTTGAGTTGTAACTCAACTCAGCTGTTGAATTACATAGTTGGGGACTGGGAAGCATGATGGAAAGACAAAATCGCAATGGAATGGACTAGTGGTAGCCTGTAAGAAGGAAGATGAAAAACAGTGGGCTTTCTTAGCCATTTAGCATCCTAACAAAATGCTGTTTGTGAAATAAAAATGCAGAAAATTAATTGCATAAAATATTACTAGGACTGAAGTGAAAGAAATGAGAGAACAAGTGAAAGAAATGAGAGAACAAGTGAAAGACAAGGAGGATTAGGTAAACGGTCTTTCTAGAATATCTGTTACTTTCAGTGACCGTAACAAAGCCACTGGCAATGGAAAGCATGGTCTAGTATCAGAATTTGAACAGATCACGTGTTTATGTGGTTGAGGGTGCAGTTTCTCATAGTAGGTACAGGACTCTTCTGCCGATGGTGATTTGTTAATCCTGTCTGGAATTCTCTACAGCAAACATCCATTGTAGCACAGCGCAGGAAATACTGGAATTGCACAGTAAGCAACAGGACAAGAGTTAAGAAATTGTGAGCGTTCTGCAGTTACCTACTGGTCATATGTAAGGTATTAAAGATGTATGTCCAATAGGCAGCAGAACCATGTACTTGTGATGATTTGCTCAGTTACTGCATAAGCGTTCTGGTTGTAGTTATGTATTTGTGGATTGCTAACATAATTAGAGCTGTCTAGTTGAACAGTTAGGCAACTAAACTGTTCAGCAAAGAAGTAAATACTGGCTTGGTGGTTTGGAGTTAGTTTCCAGTTCCCATGTTCAGACTTAAAATTCAAAACTATCTTCTTACGCAAACTTTTGCAGACAGGATGAAAAAAACCCAAATGGATGATTTTATTAAAGAACATTTCCATTAAAATATTTGTATGAGTGGATGAAGCTTATTGTTGCAAAACTAACATTCTCATTTCAGTATAAATCATAACAGTATTAAGTAGAAGTATTAAGCTTTTATGAAACATGGCTTCCTGCTGTGTTGGTTCAAAAAAATCAAACATCGCTTTAGAAAGAAAAATGTATTGTCCATCAATCATCTCTGAGCAGGGTGAGGCCTGTCTAGTGCTTATTTAAGCAATACATAACATCTTGTAAGGAGTGATCTCAAATGGAAGTGGAGTGTCACTGTTTCTTAAATATTTTCTTTATTGTTTCCAGTACTTGGACAGCTTGAAAGCCCTATAGTATTGAATGTTACTACAAGTGAGATGTTAATGAGTTTTATGTTATCTTGTAGCATAAAAGTCACTGTCAGAGCAATAAATAATGTGGAAAAGTTGTAAAACACTTAATGCTTTTGTGGCATAGCAAAAGTAAAAATGTTGGAAATGTTTACAGGAATACTCTAGGCAAGAAGTATTTCTTCAGATGTGTTATTCTACAAGCCTTCTATGACAATCCTGTTCTCCAAGACATCTTAAATAAAAAAATGAAGAAAACTAGGACTGATCCTGGATGTTAGTACGATACTAGTATGATATTAGTAGGATATTGGGACACTTTAAGGTATTTTTGTAGCAGTGTGCACTTGAACTTGTCACATGTGCTGCAAAAGTGCCATTGATCAGTAGCTCCAGGCTGTTCTTCCCGTTTCCTAGAAGGATGTATGGTAGCTAGTAATACGTTTACCTGCTAGGGGTGTCTTAATCTGTAGGAAGACCCAGACGTAGCCTTAGTTTCTGGCCCACTGTATTCCACGTCACCCTTTCAATACAGAATTACTGACATTATTAGCCTCTCAGTATCACTGGCACTAAATGCATAAAAAAAAGTCATGTTACAAAAAAAAATTCAAGTGCTTTTATACTTAAAAAAAAAAAAAAAGTTCTTTTTACTTGCCTTTTGCCTCTTACATTGATAAGAATCCTGTCCCTGTTGGTGGAAAATCTAGAAATTCATCTGTATGTCTACTTCTAGTGCAAGTTCTTATAGAATCATAAAATGGTTTGGGTTGGAAGGGACCTTTCAAGGCCATCCAGCCCAACCCCCCTGCAGTGAGCAGGGACATCTTCCACCGGGTTGCTCAGAGCCCCGTCCAACCTGGCCTGGAATGCTTCCAGGCATGGGGCATTGACCCCTCCCTGGGCAGCCTGTGCTCCAGCCCTCAGGTCATTGCTGGGGCTCCTCTGGCCCCGCTCCCACAGCTCCATCTCTGTCCTGTGCTGAGGGCTCCAGAGCTGGGCGCAGGACTCCCGGGGGGTCTCAGCAGAGCGGGGCAGAGGGGCACAGTCCCCCCCCTCGCCCTGTGCCCACGCTGCTGGGGATGCAGCCTGGGGTATGGCTGGGCTTTGGGGCTCCCAGCGCACACTGCCGGGTCACATCGAGCTTCTCATCAACCAGCAGCCCCAAGTCCTTCTCCGCAGGGCTGCTCCCAACCCCTTCGTCCCCCAGCCTGTAATCCTGTAATCCTCTTGGAATCATGCTGGGGTTTTCCTGATGGCTGTCACTGTTACCCAGAGATAACACCCGGGTGTCTTCCTTTTTGCAGGGGCGTTTTCAGAAGGCCTTACTTTCCAGTGTGAGGTAGTGTTTAGATTCATCTAAGTCAAGAAATCCACCTGCCATTTTGAGCTTAAAAAAAAAATAAAATTCCAAGCTCATGTGTGTCAGTATGAATTATAGATGATGGAGCTTGAAAAACAGTTGAGAGATATCCTTTATATATATGATAACTTCAATTTACAGGATGAGTTTTCAAACGTGTCCCTGGGGTGGTGGTGGCAGTAACAGTTCTTGGCTACAGAGGTGCACAAAAGAAAGTGTTGAACTGCTGAGGAAACGTAGGTGGGTTGGCTGTGATACGACTTTTAATCTAGATTCAAAAGATGCTTTTTAAATGTATGCTTCCTCAGAGACAAGATCGCCTTTGGAACTCCTTTGGAATCTGTAGCAAATCCACAGGTGAGCCATGAACATACATAAGGTTATTAATGCATAAATAATCTGCATCTGTTTACTGATTGCATTTGTTTTCCACAGTTTTGAAGTCTGCATTGCTGCATGGCCACTGGCATGAGCTATACACGTCTAATAAAGCTGGATTTTTGTCTCTTTTTCAGAGGGTTCGCAGAGCTCAGTTTCAGCTTCCAATGAGATCCAGCAGAACCAGCCACAGGCCCTACACTACGCGCTAGCCAACGCTCAGCAGGTTCAGATCCACCAGATAGGAGAGGATGGACAAGTCCAAGTAGTATGTACTCAGCTTTTTCTAAATTATTCCATTTAAACAATCTAGTTTATTGCAAATTTTGCTTCAGTTGAAATTTAAGTTTTTATTTTAAGAAAGTGACCTGTCATCGCTTCTTAAGCATGATTTTCAGAAAATAAACATTGAAGACTTATGAAGAAGTTTTTAGTTATTGGCAAAAATCTTCGTGCAGAATTTGCTCACACAATTGTTGCAAAAAAATGCACGTTCATTACTGTATATAGAATTGACTAGTCTCTACCTGGCCATTTGCTTGCACTTACCATAATAATAATAATAGCAGACCTACTAAGTGTACGATTTACACTTCAGAGGTAGTTTTAGCTATGACTTCCAAAACAGGAATGTATTTATTTATTTATTTTCATTTAAAGACCCCCTGCATTCTCAGGCATTTTTGAACATCTGTTAGCTGAATCCTTTATGTGTGTATTCATTTAAATACATGTATACTAAAGAGAAGTTCAGCAAGGTAACTCCCAAAGGTTTTTCCCTCCTGTCTGCTGAGAGCATCCTCAGTGAGATACTGCTCTTTCTGCAGGAACGGGGTGCAGAGGTTCCATTTCCACTTTATTTTTGCCATAACTTTACAGTGTTACCATGTGAATTTCTTTGTCTCTTGGTTTCCCTGTATATTTTAAAAAGCATACCTTAACTGCCCTATAGATCTTTTTATGAAATTTAATTGATGACTGGAAAGTATTTTTCAAGTCTTGAAAGACAAGGTAGAAGGGAAAATTACCTCAAATACATGGATACAAAAAATACAGCAGTTATGTTTACAGATGTAAGCGATGAAAGTTTGCCTCATTAAAAGATCTGGACCGGTCAACTATCCTTTAAATTATTTCTGAAATCCCGGAAAAATCCACTATAACCCACAGCCACTATCTAAATGTTGTCATAATTTGTCAAATGTAGAAGGGTCGTGGGTTGAAACAGATGCAAATGGTATTGCTTTTTCAGTTCCAGAGAGTGATACGTAGAGATCAGGCTAAGAGTCGTTAGTAAGGCAGTAGTTATTTATACCATATATGTTTTTTTTAAAAAAATCAGTATTGAGTTGAATTTGTGAACAAACTAAAAGGACTGTCCTTGAAGGCCAGCTATGTATCTGCAAAAGATGAGTGAGCAGTTCTTTTTTGGAATGCTGCATGATACGAAGGTGACTAAAGTCACCTCCCACCCCCTTTAGTCATAAAGGATTGCGTATATCTAAAAACACCGTAAATGGATCTTTTAAAAGTTCAGTGCTTTTTCCTGGGAGCCCTGAGAGCTTGAAGTTAAGGAGGGAAAGTGATTCAAATCTCAACATGGACCGGGCTGTGCTCTAATTTTATGTACAGTCCCTATTGTCAGAGTGATACTTCCAGTATGTTTTTTCTACCTATAAATAGACAGTTTCCTTCCAAAGGAAATGAAACTGTTTGAAATAGAGGGATCTGTGTTTCTTTGAAAATCACATGCAATTGTTCTTGTGTTATAAAATAAGAAGAGCCTTTGACAGAATTCCAAATGATTATCTTTAATCTCTGTCTCATGCAGGCATATTAAAATGAACACAAAGCCTTATAAACCCTGAAGTAGGTTATTTAGAATCCAATCTCCCTTCAGGTAAATCACAGTAGCAAAGACTTCGCTGGGCTAGTCAGGATGCAGAAGGAATTCCGTCCACTCTCTTATCCATGTTTTGATCAAATGGTAGGCTTGATACCATTCTGAAGTGGTGGGTATGGTCAGCAATGCAAAGTATTAACGTTATTAAAACTGTTAGGGCAGATTTTCCACTAACGTGAACGAGTGTAACTGCATTCAAATTAATGACTTCATGCCAATTTACAGCAGCTTGAGAGATAGTCTTTAGCGTGGTACTGTACTTCACCATAATTACGTGAATGTACAGTAATACATAGATACTTACAGATACTTTTTAAAATCTCACTCTTGGCGAGCTGTTAATCTGTTTTAAGAACTGAGTTTCCAAGGTCTTTAAATGGGATTAATCTTTAGGGCACAATGCAAATCTACCAAATCAAGTTAGTCCCGTACTTTGTCTGTCAGTCAAAAATGCATGTACTTTGTCTGTAGAGAAATGCACTACATAAGTGTCATGTATTGTTATGCCTGTTTTCTTTCCTCTTATGTGAAAATTAACCATTCTTTCTTCAAAGTCACTCATCTTATACTTTGCATAAAAAGATGAGGAAATACAGATGCACTTTATTTTTATTTAAAGCTTTTTTTTTTAATCTTTAATGGTTTTCATTGAAGAAGCATTTTGCTTCCATAAGTTAAGCTGTATTGAATCCAAGGTAATAGCTTCTTCCTCTAGTTGTGATTTTCTTCTGATGCTCCTTGGTGTTTTCTTTTGTTGCGGATCCCACAGGGCCATCTCCACATAGCCCAGGTTCCTCAAGGCGAGCAAGTGCAAATCACGCAGGACAGTGAGGTGAGCCAAAAGTTTGGATGCCCACGGAGCAGATGCTGGCCAGAACTTAGGACCCCGATTCTAAAGCTGTACCTCTGAGATCTGCCACAATACTTTACATGTGGTGGAGCCAGGATGAAACGTGCTTTTTGGCAGTAAATGCAATATGCTGTTTCTGTCTCTGGGGGGTTGGGGATTTCTTTTTGTTTGTTTGTGTGGTTTTTTTCTTTTCTTGACCAGCGAAGACAGCTCTGCGTGTACGTTACACTAATGATTGTTGTATATGGCTGGTGGTCTTCGCTGGAAATTTAGTGCTTGCAGAGTATCATAGGAAACCACCTTAGCTGCTTGCACTGCCATTGAGAAATGAAATTATTTTAGTTATAGGCTTGGGTTATGAACTAAACATGTTCAGAATACTCAATGTCTTGAAGTGCGGGACCTGTTGAACAGGAGTTGGAGAAACCTTCAGCCGCCATCTAGTAAAGATACACTGCGAAATCCAGTGACCGTAGTCCCATTACTGATCAAGTGATCTGGCACTGCAGTATTTGCACTTCATAATTTTTTCCATAAAAATAGTGTGCTAGAGTGGAAATGGATAAATCCAATGCCGAACCCTCCAATTTTGACTTCCTCCCCCCCCCCAAGCAAAACAGCTGTTAAAGCCAGCCGAGTTCACCTGAGTGAGAGTGCTGCTGTTGGTTATTGAAGAATATATAGAGCATACTAACTGCTATGACTGCTGTTAGATTTCTTGTGCACTTAGTTTGTTTACGCGAAGAAGCAACAGCAAAATAATGTTAAACATAAATGCAGACTACAACTTTAATCTGTATGATTTCCATGTAGAGCGTCTTTACTCTTTTTTTACAAGCATATCTGCTTGTGGGTTTAATCCATTTCCAGAGTACCCTAAATCACATCTCATAAAACCACTTTTGGTGCAGAGGAATACTGTTAACACAGGGAGCTATTGTAGAATAAATATTATTGTAAATATTATATAAATATTATAGTTAAAGGCAGTCTCCTTCGAAGAACTTGTCAGACCCAGAGAGAAATGAGGAAGCATCAGAATGTGCTGGGTCTGAAGGAGTGCGCAGTGCGCTGCAATAAAACTGAAGCAGTTCTGGGGTAAAGAGCCACCGAAAAAATTATGATTCAGCAGATACTAGGTGTGAGGGAGCCCGAGGTTCAAGCACACCCCAGTGTCTGTTGGCTTCCTCTGAAGTTCCCATATGTAAGAATTCTAAGGACTACATTTGTCCGTGACAGATGAAAACATCTGGTTTGAAATTTATTACAATGTACACAGCTTCAAATAAGAGGAAGTGCTGCCAGTAAGAAAATGCAGAAAACATGCAAATCAAAAAAACGATATTTTTTTTCCTCAAATAAATGTGCTAGTCACTGCAAGTCTCTGTGTTTGGGAAGCTGTTTTTTCTTAATCTAAGTGTCCTTTTGAAAAGATGTCTCTGAGCACATGAATAAACACTTCACTTTGTGAAGATACTGCTTTCCTTTTTCGACTTTATAGCTACAGTTTCCTTTAAAACACTGGAGATTATTGATAATTTTTTTGTGATAGATGTAATTCCTGGAATAGAGCTTTGTTGATTCTTTGACATCGAACTGTGATAAAATAAAAAAAGATCTGTTGCCACAGGCAGTAACTTTATAACAACAAAGAGTAAATAGCACTCCATCTATGTAGAAGTGTTGTACTGCTAGTTCTAGTTTACTAAGGGTTTGACTTAAATGGGCGGTTTCATATAAATAAGGAAAAACAAAAGCTTGCCTCAAAAGCCATGCAAACAAACTTAGCATAAAAGTGCTGTACATTGTACAGTAACTTTCAAAAAGCAAACGTGCTGGCGCTGAAAAACTTTGCTTTTTAGTCTCTTTATCCTCTGCGGTTAAAGTGCTGACTATTGAATTGTAGCTGGATTGCCAAAATAACCCTCAGCAGAATTTCCTAAATTAATAGATTTCCTTAATATTGGAGTTGTTTAATAATGAGATGAAAAACAGGCCTTTTTCAGGACAGAGCAACTTTCTAAATTCCAAAGTTGTGTTTATTGTCAATGCTCTTATTTTACAGGGAAACCTGCAGATACATCAAGTTCATGTGGGTCAAGATGGGCAGGTAGGAACAGAACTGAGTTCTAAGCAGCATTTTTACTTTGATCTTTAAAATTAATGTTGCAGTTGGAATGATCTCACATTATGAGTGGCTGTTTTAAAGAGCAAAATCTGTGCTGGTCTTTCAATAAACAACTTGCAAAATCATAAAACGTAAGCTAAGTATTTTGCCTGTTTACTCAAAGTATTGTACCAAGCTTATTTCATTACTCCTGCAACATACTTTATCCCTCTGTGTTTTACCTGCTTGTCTTTGGCCTCTTCACTCTGACGTTCACTCGCTGGATCGTGCACAGTATGTTCTTTCCTCCGTTACCGACTGTCGCTGTGGCCAGATGTGGACTGCAGGCCATGCAACCCTAGGAACAGTTATTGCTGAGGTTTAAGCAGCTATTTTTTCATTATATGGCTGTCTTGGGAGAAACAGATCTCTCACATCTGCTTTTGTTCTTTTTGATAAGATGGCTTTATTAGGTGCTTATGCATACATGAGGTAAGAAAAGAAGCTTGTACTTTGAGTGATGAATCAACAAGTGATTAAATTAGCAGAATTTCCATGTCAGGTGTCAGCAAAATTGCTAACATTTGATCTCAGACACACTTTACTAAATGTTCAGCTGTATTAAAATATCCACAGCACAAAAATATTCCTGTAAGAAGCTTTCTAGCCAGGCCACTTGAATAAGTGTGTTACGAATTTTTTTTGTTCCTGTTGAATATTAATAGGTTGTGAGACATATGGCTGGAACGTGAGTACTGCCCTGAACTGAAAAGGCTCACGTCATGAAGGTTCTTGAACTCCAAGGCCTTGAGCGGCCACCAGTACTCTGAACTTTTGACCACATACAGTATTTGTGTGGGGAAGCAATCGAACTGTATTTAAAAAATAGGTGTAAAAAAAACTTCTCTAAGTGCTCTTTCCTGAGACTTTAATCAGAAGTACGTTTGCAGAAGTGAGACTAGGAAAGGTGATTTTTTGGAGACGTGTCAGAGCCTTTGTTTTAGTACTTGCTGCTCTTTTTTCCTGTTTATGAAATACTGCTGTCCAAATGATGTCTTCTTAACAGACCGCTACTGGGTGGTGTTATGGCTCTCTGAGAGCGGCGTGTAGATGAAATTACATTTTTTTGTAATTACAGCCTGATACCGTTATTTTTCCTCTTGAAATATCTATTCATAACAAGTATTCCACAAACTGCATCTCTCATTCTTAAACAGAGCCAAAGAATGTGGTTTAAAACACTGGTGCGCGTGGATGCTGGTTTGAAGGGAAGTGCTCGGCTGACCGTGTTTTCCTGAACCCCCCTGTGTTAGGCACGGAGAGGCGAGTCCTTCCTACAGCAGTAGCATTCAGCTGTGTCTCATGCTAAAATAGTCGTGGAGTGAAAAATTGTAAGCTCTAAATGCCCATAAATCGAGTTGTGCTGATCATCTGAGCAGTGGCATTTGCACACGCAGAGTAAGGCCGCACTGGGTGGAGAAAGGTGGTGTAAAAGTACATGTTTGTAAATGTGTGTGTGTGTCTGTGCATGTGCACGGGTACGTGATGCGGGTTTGTGGCAGTGTGTGAGAGCACACACAAGATAGGGAGGAAAGGCATGCTTTAATTGATTTTTGTTGTTGAAATCAGCATCAGCTTGTCTATAGAAAGGCAGCTGTAGTATTACATGGTGCACAGTGCTTGGGATAATCCTGGTTCCACCTAAGCGGTGGTGGCTGTGGCTGCGCGTGTGTGTAGGAAATCAGTTTCGCGTCCAATTTTTTGTTTTTTTAACTAACTCTGGGCCCTGCTTTTAAACTTTCCTTGAAAACGAATGGTGAAGTGCTGGGGTTTTTTTTTCCTGCGTGCACTCGGCTGCGTTGTGCTGCAGAAGAGGAACGGCCGTCTCCGGAGCGTCGACAGCCAGGCAGTCGCGCTTCAGCTGGCGTCTGCGCAAGTTCACGGCAGCCCTCCCGCCCCTCCAGAATCACTTGCTGCTCAGCTGTTTTCCAGCAGACCAAAAAATAGGAGCAAGCAAATATTTAGGGGATTTTTATCTCCATCCTGCGTTAGATATTGAAACCTTCAGCAGCAGTTGGAGCCACGTGGGCCTGTTTTGCAGCAAAGTGGATGAGTAGCGCTCACATGATTCCTTGCGAGAGCTCCGTGTGTCACACGAGGGGGTCGAGGGGAGGTCTGTGGCTCAACTGGCTGCTGCTCTTCAGCTGATCTGTGTTCGGTGACCAGTTTTTCAGCTATTAGCTCATAAAAATTGCGAAGGAAAATGAGTTAAACTGAGCTGTGGTTTAAGAATGGGAGCTGAAACTAATACATTTTCCTTGGCACTTGCAGAGGGATAAGAGCACAAAAACCTGAGTAGCTTGCAGTCAGCTGTACACGACCTGTGATCGAAGGGGCTTCTGCAGTTTTCCCTCCTGTCCATTACTTTTCTGGAGGGTGGCTTTTTCTTCCACGTTTTGAACTCTCATGCACACTGCCAGGGGCACTGAAGAATATTGGTAGTAAGAAAAGTGAAGAATGTGGCACTGCTGAGACATCAGTCATTGAATATTCTTAGCTGACTAATGCATCCTTCCTAATGGTACTAGATCTTAGCTTGGCTACTAAATATTCCCTTTGAAAATTCGTCTCACGCCGCTGTTTTCCACACACGGCTGCATGTTGAACTGATGTCAGGTGTTCTCTCCGTTCAGGTGAGGTTTAGTGCTGCTGCCTGAGTCGCAAGTGAAAGGTTTACAAGCAGCTGGGACTGCAAAGCGTAAAGTTGATAGCTTCGTGTCACCTAAAGCAAAAAATGGCATAAATCTACTGTGAAATTTTATCAGTAAGATTTCCAGGGTGATCGATATGTTTGAAGTTTGATAATGCGAGTAGTGAATACTGGCTTCTCTGCAGAATGCTGCCAGGTGTTGCCTCTAACTTCCCCCCTCCTTGAATTGTCTGTCCTGATAGTTGCACTGAATTTAGATTTTGTTTTTCTGGCATCATTGTTCATGGAACTGATGAAGTCATGCCAAAATGAATGCTGTCTACCTACACATGTGTTCTATTAGCTGAAAGTTTCATATTTCAGTGCACGTTTAATAAAAATACCAAACTGCAAAAATAATTAGACTTCATATTAACTAACATTTGAAACCTTGGGCTAGTGGGAATTTTTTTGGACTTTGCATTTTATACTCAGGAATTACCAGAAGTTTTCTAATTTGTCTCTCTTTTTCCTCTTATTAGCTGCCCGCTTTTCTCCCCAGCTCCATCCTTTCCTTCCTTTGAGCTGGAGTGTTCTGCGTCCCAGGAGATGTTCAGTGTGTGTCCCGCGTGCTGACGTAGTGCCACAGTGTGCAGAAATACAAGTGGGGTGTAAAGAGGTAGAACAGGACATTTGACATTCCTTGATTCAGCATTTTAGACATTCCATTTTGTACATCCTCACAGCCAGTGTTTCTCCAATTTAAAATTAATTAAAATGACACCAGGCAAATGGTCTTCAACTAATAGCCTTAGTTCTTAAATTAAAAAGTTAATACACTTTAAAATCTAAAATATAATCATATGTATTCCTGGAGAGCTGACAATTTGTTCTGCACAATGAATAAAAATTTAATAACAGTAGCAGCATTTAGTTCACTTGGTATCAGTATCTGTAAGTAAGTTAGGAGAAGCAGGAGAATCCAGAACAAGCACCACGTATGGTAGAAACAGCTGGCCAGTGTCAGCTGCTTGGGTAGTGTCAGTCATCTTACTGTGTGCATATGAAATAAATATGCAGAATTGCATCTGCTACATTATATTTTTCAAAAAGAAACTTGGCACCTTATATAGTTGTAGCCACAGTGTCTTCCAGATAACTTTGTAGTCAAAGAGGTGTGCTGAGACCCGTTGGTAACTGTTGGGTTACAAATACGTACAGAGAGAGGGGATCACATTAATATCACATTTTTCTGCTGCGCAGTGAGGTGTTTGTATGGAGCAGTGATTGCATTATCTTTTTCTGAACTGTTGCTCTGACCTTGCTGCTGCGGGCTTTGTGGCAGCGCGGAGGTCTGGGAGGGTTCAGACGCTGGGCTGTGGAGGTGGCTCACCAAACCAGCTTTCAAAAAGCATCCTCATGTGCACAATGGTTGTATGAGAGTGTAGGAATCTGTGATCAGGAAAGAGAGCTTGGAAAACTGCTGTGGTGATGGAGAAAATACGGCAGACCAGAGCTGTGGAGTAGCGGCTGGACGCTGCTGGGCCTGAAGGGCTGGAACAGAGACGGGTCAGCGAGAGTTGCCTTGAACGGCCTCGGAGTCGGAGTCTGGTGTCTTGTTGGGATCCGTTCTCGGTACGCGTAGCACACCCTGTAGTACAGCTCAGAAGGAGATGTGACCTCATCACCTGTGTTTGAACCATCTGTCCTCTGCTGTAGTCCGAAGGGAAGGGCAAGCTGGTAAATCGTGGAGGAATGGAAAAGAGGGAGAAAGTATTCCAGATGTTCAGGGGGAAAACAAATCGATTCTAGTAATTCCACGTAAAATCCAGTGAATCTGATTTGTGACTGGGTCAAACTAAAATGAAAATAGGTTTGTTTGTGGAAGAAATTATTTACAGACCTTGGGAACAGTCTTAAACCAACATCTCGTTTTGTACCTGTGTTTGCCTCCCTGATCACTACTGGGACACTCACACCGTGCTTTGCAGTGAGGGCGCAGCATTTTTTTAAGGTTCAGTTTAATCTATAATGAGCACAATTTTCAGTTATACAGACAAAAATGTGTTCACGCATTAACTCAGCTTTTATGCAGTTTGCAGATGCCATTTTATTGGGAAAGAAACTGTTTAATGTCTTTTCTGAATATGCCTTTTACTTGCTTTTGCTAAGCCTTTGGAGTAGACACTGCCGTTTCTATCAATATTAACAACTTCGGTAATAACAGATTATCCAAAACAGAGGAAAGAACCATCTTCCGCAGTTCTCACTTTTCGTATATTGCACCTAATTAAAGTTCTAGATTTTCAAACTA